TAAAACTTATTCACAAGGGGATGAACGACCTTTACCAAATTTTTTTGGCTGAAAACCAATCTGATTGTCTATACTCACACAGCCGGGAAACCCTGTTTAGAGCAGCTTTGCTGTATTGCTGACATAATTTTATACACTAGTGCGCATTTGAAAAGTTGGCTAAAGGGGGGGAGGACCCCTCCCTCCCTCTGTCCCACTAACATAAGGCCGTGCTCGGAATAGATGTATTATAATACAGAGGCGCATAATTTACAAGTGTAACCTACCGGTCGACGTGCAAACTCCAGTCCAAAGTGAAACGACGGGGTAAGGTGTGTATTCTTTACAAGTGTATTTTCAAAGAGAAACAGTGATCCAAACAGGGCCTAAGAGTGTTTCTGCCAATACACTAGTGTAAAAAAAACGCTCTTACATTACGGGACCGAGGGGGTACGAAAGAAAAACCGATGGCTTTCCGCCCAGATTTATACTCTACGTACGTCACTACACGCTCCATCCTCCGTCCGAAAATACTTGCCGGGAAAGTAAACTTACATAGACGCATTTAAAATGAGAAACAGCTATGCCTGATTAAATTGATTAATTCCCTGTTTGATTTGATTAACTCCCTCCTACTTTTTAAAAACGAAGTTAAGATGAGAATTCTTCATGCATATATCTTATCTTGCTTACGAATGTCCCCACACCTTCCGTTGCTCGAGCCGAAACTGGAGTCGTCACATATAATTGGTAGTCAAGCAGCCGAAATGTAAATGAGGTTGCATGTCTTATCCTACTTATAAATAGCTCCACATCTTCAGTTGCTTGAGCCAAAGTTGGAGTCTTTTCTTTTCTTTTTGCGGGGTGCCAGCGTTGGAGTATAATAGTTGGCAAACAATAACTATGCCATTAATTTTGGTGTGATGGAGCCTATATCTCATGATAAACCTTTTAAGTAATAAAGCGTCTTTATCGAAAAACCTCTGATGATAAAGTATGTTTCATGTCACTTCGGGCCAAATTGTAAGACGGTATGGCTTTTCGACAGTCACAAATTCAAAGCATTCATCAGTTTGACCCATCAAGATTCAAATTGAGTTTCAAGAAAACATAATCCCACCATTTGTGTTTTCTGGTCAGTTTGTCCTCCGTACACTACCTATAGGGTTATTTATGTCCTACAATAGCACGGCACGCTATTGTTTCGCCTCCGACAAGATAAACCATATCCCACATGGTGTATTTCACTTTTTTCACATTTCTCTCCTGCTTCGCAAGAGGCGGCAACATGGCTGGCGGCCGCATCGGGTCGACCAGGAAGGTGATCCTCAAGCGGAACTGCGAGGGTTGCAGTGGCTCGATTTCAACCACCCCAAATGCAGAGCCCGTGGCCACCGACTTTGTCAAGGCTCATGTGGGTGTCCGTCACCGGCCCGCTCGTGGCAACTCGACCATGGATTCTCGGGCGCGGTCGAACTTATTAGCCGTGGAGGTCGTGGTGTTGCGGGTGAAGAAAAAACTTAAACGAGGGCTAAAATGGAAAGTGTAAATTTACATCACATGTCCAAAAAAAAACTTAGTTTTAGTAGTAAAGTTACTGCCGGTGAAGCTCCGGTAGAAAAAAAAACTTAGTTTTAGTAGTAGGAACGGCCCCAGCATTTGAGCGTCGCCGAAATTCCGTTTCTGGATATATGGAGCAATTATTTAACACTTGCTTGTTATATTTTCAGCCTCTGTCCGTAGGCGTAGATATATCGAGTCGCTGCCGCAGCTCTGCTCATCTCCTTCCAATCCACCCCGGCCGCGTCGTCTTCCTCTCGCCTTCCTCCTCCCCGGCCCCGCCTAACCTCCCCGGCTTTTCTCCCTCCCCCTGGTCCACGGCGACCTCGGACTTTCCTCCACCAAACCGCGCCAACCCCCATTCCATTCCATTGGCCGCCCCCTCAAACATCCCCCCGCCATTCGCGCCACCATCCATTCCATTTCCATTCCTTCCTGCTCCCCCACAGCTTCTCCATCCATCCGCTTCCGCCCCCTTTCTCTT